TGTTACCTTTGAACAGAACCTCTTATCTCCCCCAGCCCTACCCCACCAAGTTAATGGACAATGACTATCAGATAACTACTATATGTAAATGATATACTAGACATTGAAAGTGAATGATCCCCTTCTAAGATACAGTGCTTAGGGAAAGAAAGCTGTGAGTGGAACAAAGGAAAACTCCATGGCAAAGAAAGCCCCCAACCTAAACATTATATATGGCTATGGTGTTTTGAATGAGAATGTCCCCCATAAGCTCCCCATGGATCTGGACACTTGGTCCCCACTTGATGGTGTTGTTTGGGGGAGTCATGAAATCTTTAGATGTAGCTTTGCTGGAGGAACTGTTTCTGTTCTCTGCTTCAAGTCTGCAGTTGAAGATGTGAGCTCTTAGCTTTTAGTTCCTGCCACTGATGCCTGATGCTTGCTGCCATGCCTCCTTGCCATGAGGGACTCATCTCTCTGGAACTGTAAGCCAAAATAAACTCTTGTATAAGTTGCCTTGATCATGGTATTTATCACAACATCAAAAGTCTAATACAATGTTTAAAGGAATTTGAAGACTTGGATAATATATATATATATATATATATATATATGGCATTTTATTGTTTTTATTCTATGTGTGTGAGTGTATTGTCTGCATGTAGATAGGTGCATCTATGTTGTGCAATGTCTGCCAAGGTCAGAAGAGGGAGTCGGATCCCCTGGAACTGGAGTTAAAGACGACTGTTACTTGCCGTGTGGATGTTGGGAATTGAACTTGGGTCCTTGGCAAGAGCAGTCAGTGCTCTAAACCACTGAGCCATCTTTCCAGCCCCCGGATTTGAGTATATTTAGGGCAACCATAGTAACTATAATCTTCAAGTCCAGCCCAATTCCTGTACAAATCAATAGAATGCACTAAAGGCCTAGCACTAGAAGCTGTAAGCACATTTATATCATAATAACTGTTAGAAATAAGAGCGGCAGGTGTAGGCAAGGAGCTGACCTGAAATTACCCTTCAGAAATGAGTTTTTATTTTATTTATTTTATTTTTGTCTTTTTGAGACAGGGTCTCCCTGTAGTCCCAGCTAAAATGAACTCACTATGTAAACCAGGCTGGCCTTGAGCTCACAAGGATTTGCCTGCCTCTGCCTCCTTTATTGTTTATATCTTATGTGTATGAGTGCATTGCCTGCATGTATGTGAGTGCACCCATGTCATGCAATGCTGAGGAGGTCAGAAGAGGGCTTTGGATTCCCCTGGAACTGGAGTTAAGGAAGGTTCGGAGCCACTGTGTGAATGCTGGGAATTGAACCCGGGTCCTCTGCAAGAGCAGTCAGTGCTCTTAACCTCTGAGACATCTCTCCAGCCCCAGAAATGAGTTTTATTAGGAAAGCGAGCCTTATGACCATGGAGGCCATGATTGGACCTTGAAGTGCAAGAGAAATTAGAAGAGATCGAGCACTGTATCAGAGACCATATGAAGGGGACTTGAAAAGATAGAGAGGCTTTCCTTGGCAATGTGGAGAGGAGCCTCATTAAGAGAGAGAACTTAAAAAGAGTAGGACAAATGCTTAAAGTGAAAGGGTAAGAGAGAGAGGCACCATAAACATCTGGGGAAGGACCTGATAGAGGGAGAGAGGAGGAGGAAGGGAAGAAAAAAGAGGGGGAGAGAGGGAACGTGCAAGCCAGAAATCCCTTACTTTTGTAGTGTTTCCTAGAAGAAAGGGAACTTGACCATAACACAAAATGAGTTTCAGGTGGACATCAGAGTTGCTGTTCAGAGAGGCAGAGATAAGGAAGAATATTTGTTTACAAATTCCTGTTACCTCTGCAGAAGGTAGAA